GGGTCTCTTAGCCACACAACGTCCATATCCTGTTGGAGTGCATGTGCACATGTAAAGTGTACTATAGAGAGAAAAAATAAATAAACTAACTAAGGAATAATATAAATTAAGAAAATGACTGGGAGTAAAAAAGATGGAGAAAGGTACGGAGCCGAAGGGGTAATGGAAGCCCAACTACATTAATAATAATAAATCGTATTATAATAAGATTAGAGCATTATCATTCAACCCGGCGACGATTTGGCTGTGAATCACCGTGGCGAGCCCCAACGTCTTTGCGAGAGCCCCGGGGCCACAATCCCACGTGCTGAATGGTTGGCGAATTACTAACTAGGTTTGGCATACTAATCATCCCCACACACCAACTCTATCACTCCAATTATTAATCTACAAAAAAAAAAGAGCCCAACTACATTTATATTATACAGTTTCCTCGAAATGGTTTGACTTTTATGCGTCCTTTTGTCTCCCATTTGAATTGATCAATATTTCATAATGTAATGGTAGATAGATGACATTATACCAACTACATGCATCTTTGCTCAGTTTTCATGAAAGCGTGTAACAATCATTCATAATTAATAACTATCGATGACTATATATAAAATCAAAGCTCTAAGAAGTCACTTTCCTAAAACAATTTTAAATGACATTATAAAGCATGCGTTTTGATTCTACTTTTCAAATTAAGCCTTTTGTTGTCAATATATGTATGTGTGTGTCTTTTGGTACCTATATATCTATGCACACAAAAATTTAAAAAAAAAAAAAACAATAAAAGAAAGAAAGAAAAAGACAACGAAACTAAAAGAGGGAGAGAATTAAACTAAATTAATCATGCATAACAACGTTCAGTCTTCGCCGACACCCACATTTTGATTAAAAGCAAGTGATCTTAAAGTTTTAAAATAAAGCATAAAGCATTCCTATTCATCAGGATGAGGTTAAAATCGTACTACACACACAAGATTCAAATTTTTTTAATTTTAAAAATCTTATATATATATATATATAAATGTGTATTGTATTATATTAACACACATTTAGCCCTCATTAAAAATTTAGAAATTAATCTTATAGGCTCATTGACATAAATTTGTGGCTCCGTGAGAGGTTCTCATGTTCCCATAATTAAGTCAAGGCTTGAATCGATATTCACCGGCTAGCCAAGATGTTTTATTTTTAAGCGGCGTTTGATCATGATTTGCTAATTCTCCCAATGCATGTTCTTTTGAACTTTGTTTCTTAATTACCAAAAAAAAATGGAGTGTTAGGTTATATTTGGTTTATTGATTTAAAATTATTTTCAATTTACGTATATTTTTTATGAGATAAAATACTGTAATAAATTATTATTCAAATCATGACACAAATTTTTACTCTAAACACACTCTTAGTGTGAGATTTGATCGGATTGAGGGTGACCGTGAGAGACCCACAGACAGGGTGGGGTTTAATTCATTAGGATCTGGGAGAGAATCATGATCATGATCAATTAAGATGGGAGTACTACTGTTAGTATTCACGAGAATCTATTATCTATATAGTGGTTCACCGCCACACATTAATAAAATAAATATTTAATATGTGATATTTATCAGTACAAATGTACAATAACGTGGCATCAGTATTCCAACCCTCAATTTCACTTGAATTCCGTGCTTTAATTAATTGTTCATTCACGCGCGTAACAGGACTATATGATAATTATATGAACAAATCAAGTCTCATCACTCATGGTAAACATGCATGCCGTGTCGAGCCCTCTTCGATCGACACTTGCTTGCATCCAAGTCCAGTGTAGCTAGTTTGAAATTGATTTTCCAGTCTTCATTATAATTAAGCATTTTTGGGAGAAAATTTATATTTTTAGAGTGTTTTTAATTATAGTAAAAAAAATTAAATTTGATATTTTTTAAAAAATTTAAATTAATAAAATGAACGAGACCATAATATATTATATTTTATCAATTCATTAAGGAGGCTAAGTCAAAAATAGCAGTGATAGTCCTAAAAATTACTTAAAAAAAGCTAACAAAATTAACCCAATCAATTAGATATGACAGTTTAGAATGTAACTTACGATCAAAATGGTATCCTTATATATACCGGCCCTACCATAAATGATCATTAAAATTAAACGAAAAAGTGAATTAGAAGTAGTTAGTACATACCGTGAATATGAAGCTGTAACCACGTTTAAGAACCTCCAACAGAAACAAAGTTCGTCTCCACATCATCTTGACGAAATCCGCAGACATGTAGAGCTTCTCTCCCCTGAAATCCACGCCGTCCGTTTCCAATCTGTAGCAGTTGAGCTTCAAGAACCGGCAGCGATCGTAGGCCGTCTGATCAACCGCCACAAGCAGAAGATGATCACGCAGTGCCCTAGTGTTCTCCCCAAGCCAAAAGCTATCCAGGAAGATATCAAGCATTGTGGTGTCGGCCTTCATATATATGTCTTGGTCTGCGTAAGCCCTATTTATAACGGCGATGATAACCGTCTTGTTGTTGTTGTTGTTGTTGTTGTTCTCCATTGAAGCTTTCGATAAAGCCGCTTCAAGTTCGTCCCGAGCGAGAGGGGTTGCTTCAGCTTCTTCAATGGCGGGCTGTCAAATTAAGACCACAAAAGTTTTTTCTTTAATTTTCTTTAAACAAAACGAAACCTGATAACATTTCTTAATTAAGAAGGTACGCAGTTAATGATGTTTAGTTTGGATCAATTACCGAGTTCGGAAGTAGTTGGAATTGGAGGTCTTTGTTTTGCGAGGAAAATAATATTGGGAAATTTGTGAGAGAGGAAGACCAAAAGGAGAGATATAGAACTCCGGCAAAGAAGATAAAGACGAGAGCAAGATTGGAGCCATTAATAGAGTAGTGTTTTATTGGGTAATCCATAATATTGTGATGTGATCAGTTAATAATCTGATTGTAAGTAGTCGTACTCGAGCGGAGTTTATTATAACATTAATGGAGTCGAAGATCTGAGAGAAGAGGTTTAAAGAGATCTGCAGGAAGAGGCGACGAATAGAAATACAAGATTGTTGGGGACTTTACGGTGATGACTTTGAGGGTCTCTGGTGATAACTTTGCGTTTGGAATTGTTGGGGACTGACTTGCCAGATTGTAACTAGTGGAAATCTTATTGGTGCACCCAAGTTTATTTTAATTTATCTATAGAAAGAGACGAAAAAGGGCAAAAACGGAAGTGCCTTAAGTTTTGTCGCCCTTAAGGAAAACAAGAACGGGAACAAGTCCTTACGAACGTATGTGAAATCATTTTGAGATGTTTAGTTAGAAGATTTAAATCATAATTTGAATCATGATTCATGGTTCGTTACAGTATTTTTTCTCATAAAAAATACACGTAAATTAAAAATAATTTTAATTACATAATTTTAATCCATAAACTAAACGTCTCCTTAATCTGTTGATAGTAAGCAAAACATAGCCTACAACTTGTGATAATTTGTCGATTAATACGTCAACTATAATTGCTAGTAGCTCTTAATATATATGGTAAAACTATTAACATTTTAAAAGTTTAGCACTTTGGCCACATTTGGAAAAAAATTAATTTAGTGGCACAATTAGTTAAAAATTTATGTTTATTGTCATATTTGTGGAAACAATATTTTAGAGGACACAATTGAAAAAAAAAAAATTTAGTGGCACAATTAGTCAAAAATTTTATTTAAATATTAAATATTCCTTAACCACTCTTCAATCGAATATTAAATATTAAATATTCCTTATTATACCCACTTCAAGAAAAATCTGTATAAGTTATAATTAAGAGTGCATTTGGTTGCAGTGACAGAATGATAATAGGAATGGTAATGTGAATGGTAATGGAATGAAATTAAAATGTGTTGGAATTATAAACTGATTTTTAATTTGATTGGAGTTATGGAATCAATACCTGAATGAGGATTATACTGTTTGGTAGATAACGGAATGGAATGAAAATAAATTATATTTTGACAAAAATACCCTTGATTAATAATCCTAAATAATTTAATATTTTAATTAATTAAAATAGTAAACAAATAATTTAATTATTGAAAAAAACTTTTTATTTGAAGGATAAAATTTAAAAACTATATTTCAATTGTAGAAAAATAATATTTGATATTTTTATGTAATAATAAATTATCACAAGCTCAAATATGATTACTTTTGGCATCTACCATGATATGTTCCCTGAAAAATATAACTTTGGCCCCTGTCAATAATAAAAATGACAATATATCATTCAACTACATATATAATCCTAATATATAGTGATATGTCAAGTCAAACAAGTTCCTAGTTAATACAATTTAACAAAGTGAAGCATAATCCTAATTAGTTACAATATCAAAAGAGAAATGCATAGCACATACACCACAATATTAAAAGATAATCCGGCTATGTTTTTCCACTGAAACTAAACAAAAATTCCTAAATATCACCAGCAAGCAAAACTCTAGCCCACTCATCTCTTTCATCATCAAGGATACTAAAAAAGTAAGAAACTAAAGCATCATCCTTTATCATCATCCGAACTACCTTATTTTGTTCTATTGTGTTAATGGTTGTGGTCATTTGTAGTTCATCTCTAATCCAGCTATGTTTTTCCATCATGTCTTCACCGATAGCCTGACTTAAACGTTCACTTGCCTTTTCAATAACACCAGCATGTAAACTAGATGATCTTTCAATGGCTTCATAAGCCTCTACATTGTTTGTACTCTTCCTTTTTTTTAGGCGACTCTTGAGTTTGAGCTTAAGTTTGAGGAACAACCGATGCTTGTGAGAAAGACATTGATTGCGCTTCATAGTTTTCAGAGATTTACAGCAAATTCTTCAGCATGTCAAAGCAATGTGCACATTTAATTTCAACAAAAAACAAATCCAATGAGCAAAGAAAAGCAACCGTGAAAAAAAAAATCATCACACGGGTTTTCAATGAGCAAAGCCATAAATCCAAGAAACATATCAAAAAATGGAGCCTGACCTTGCCAGAATCAACCGCAACTAATAGTCTTCTTAAGGTCCGTTTAGTTCGTTAATTTAAATTTTTAATTTGAATTGATATGTGACTTTATGTGAGTTTTTTACTGTAGTAAAAAAGTTAAATGTGAATGTTTCTTAGAGCTTTTTACTGTAGTAAAACTCAAATTTTAAACTCGAATCAGTAAAATGAACGGAGTTTAAATTTTAACCTCTCATCAAGGCGCAAGCAATTAATTGCATTAATTAATTGAACTTATAATTCAGCAGCCCTAATCAATCAAATCCTTAGAGTACTAGTACTGCCACATCGATCGCCAGTAGTACTCATATCAAAACTATTATTAGTTTGGCCAGGACAGGAAATAAGTAATCAAAGAACATTGCAGCTCTTTCGTCTTCCCTTTTGCCTCTTGCACGACTTTGAACGAGGATGCAGAGCCAACTTGATCGCGGCATCAAATACAACCTTCACATTCTGCAATATTTCATAATATTTAATATATAAGAGGACCATTTTTCTATATATATATATATGAATCAGAAGATCAAAGACACACATATAGATAAATATATATATATATGTATGTATGTATGTATGAGAATGTATACAAGTATTATAATATGGAGACACACCTGCTGTGTCTTTGAGCTGCACTCGATATAGGCAACCGCACCAATTCGCTTCTTTAGATCTTCACCCTATGCAATATGTATCGTGAAAATGATTTGAACACGAATTTTAATCTAATTTAAATGCAAGCATGCAACAACCCTAAGACATAAACCAGAACAAATGATGATATTAAAAATAAATAAATGGTTTTCGCATGCATGTACCTGTTGTGTAGAGATGGTACATGCCCCAGGGTAATCCCTTAGGAACTGGTCATCTTCTCTTAGATCTGCGGCCACATTTTGTTTATAAGTCAGGTGATCATATAATGACATATGATTTAATAGCAATTGAGAAGCAAAGGAAAACACACTCACACACACCCAGTTTTTAATTTTATCAGCTGCTACTAATTCCATGATTTTAAGAGTCTGATCAGTAGTTCTAGCCAACCTTTGCCGATTCCACTCAAAACGGGAAAAGTTTTTGAGACAGAAAATGATTGTGGAATCTTTTATTTATTTATTTATTCATTTATTTCTTTTCTTTTCTTTGATTTCCATTCTAAAATACTCATTTGGCTTTAAGAAAATCCTTACAGAATAAAATGCAGTCTCCTAGTTAATTCAATCTTTTGGAATGAAATTGATAAAAATAAAATCACCTAGTTTGGTCCCCACGAGAATAATGGGCACTAATGGGGCATAATGTCTCAGCTCTGGGATCCACTTCTCCAACATAACGAGAGGTAAGTGAAAAAGAAAAAAGAAAAAAGAAATAGAAAGTGATCAGTATATACATTTGTATACAAAGATGATATGATTCTTAAGCATTACTTATTTCAAAGAAAGAAAGAAAAAGAGTCGAGAAATAAACTTACTTTCTTTGACACGTTCTCATAGCTTGGCCAACTTATAAGGGAAAAGGCAAGAAGGAAAACATCTGCCCCTCTGTAACTAAGAGGCCTCAACCTGTTGTAATCTTCTTGGCCTGAGTTTGTAATTACTAATTACTCTTAAGGAGATTGAATAATTCAATTCTAAAGCTTTAACTCTGGGGAAAAAAAAAAAAAAAAAAAAAAAAAAAAAAAAAAACAACCGCAAATTCATTAATAAAAATGAAAAGAAGAACTTTATAAACCACTTTATGTACTGGAAAGATACTAGTAAAGAACCCTGGCCTGGCCCTATTTCAGTATTTGTTCTAAAAGAAAGAAAGGAAGAAAGGAAGGGGGGGAAAAAAAAAAGGAAGAAAAGAAAAGAAAAGCTTAAATGGGACGCCTTGTTTCTGGATGTCACATGGATTAATGATTCGATTGTATTATTTATGTTTCTGTTTTGCTTAAAAATGTGTGGACCAACTTTGATTTGTTTTTGCATAGCATTTGTAAGAGGTTTCATGATTACAACATGACAAGACCCTTTTTCTTAGGATTTTATGCAGTAAATGTTAATTCCAATATCCAAATTGCCCTGTTTAGAATTATTAAAACTTTTAGCCCAAAAAAAGTGCTTTGAAAATTTGGATTTCTCACTGTTTTCTCTCTATATATATCGAAAGCAAACTAGAGGAAAAACGGAACAAATGGATTATGAGCTTTTGTAGTGAGCATATGTTAAGAGAATGTAATGGTTCCTATTAATGCTTTTCTATGTAATCCTTTATGCTTTGTTGTGCTGCTAATAGTGAAAATTTGTGTATGTTCTGCTAGTTGTCAGATTACTTATACCTACTAATTATGCAGCCAAGAACATTTATTCACAAGAAAAAATAAATGAATAAATAAATAAATAAAACATTTCATCATAGGAAGTTAGGAACTAAGGCAGCAGAATTTTTATAATCAATTTGGTCATGGAAAAACAAAAGAAACGAAAATAGTATAAACTTGAAAGTGACAAATGAAAGACCAATTCTGAAGAGAATAATACCAGCAGTATCCCACAAACCCAGATTCACAGCTTGGCCGTCAACCAAGACATTAGCACTGAAATTATCAAAAACAGTGGGCACATAATCCTGTCAACAAAATTTGAACCCATCATTCAATAAAAAAACTAAAAATTAAAAGAAAAGAAAAGAAGCAAGCTTTAAGCATAAAAGTCTAATTAAAAAGAGAATGAAGGAGAAGAGAAATAAGAATGTGGATGGATGATGAGATACAGTGGGGAAGGTGTTGCTGGTGTAGGAGATGAGAAGACAGGTCTTCCCAACGGCACCGTCCCCAACTGTCACACATTTCACGAACTTTGAGTTTGATGTCGTCCCTGTTGATGTTGCTGTTGATGTTGTCATTCTAGTATTATTCGCCTGCATTCTTAACGTCTATGCATCAAACAAACGGCAACACAAGAAGAATTCTTCTTCTAAGAATGAAAAGACTCAGTCAGTTGGAGAGTTATGACCAACGGGGGGGAAAGAGATTGAAGAAAACTTCTGTGAGGAATAGGAAGAGCTTTTTTGGGGGTGGCATGGAAAAAAAAGGTATTGCGAGTGCGAGTGTGACCAGTGAAAATCACTTTAATTTGAGCTGTCAGAGGGGCAAAAAGAGGAAAGGGAGAATCACTTTAATCTCGCCCATATATTGGAATGAAATAAGGTGTAATCTAACTGAAACATCAGTTTTTTTGTCTTTCAGGAAGGCCCATTCCAAAAAATAGTCAAATAATGTGACACACATACTGTTTAAAAAAAAATCACTTTAAACATACTGCGACATACATACAGAAACTCAAATAATGTCTCCTCTTTCAATTATAAAGAAATAAATTTTTTTCATTCACTGTTTTATAGATGCAGAATACATTCTTTATACAACGTCTATAATGAAGTTGCAAACATGCCATAAAAATAGTCTCCACATTAACGGAAAATCTGATAAAAGTATAGGAAACAGAAAAAAACTCATGTAAAATAGCATATTACATGGATAATAGAAAGGAAAAATAAATAAACAAACACATATGGAAAATTTGGTTGAGGTATTTTCCTTGAATGGCTAACATCATGCATCATAAGTAATTGAAATGTGATTTAACAATACTATTATGTGCAACACAAAATGAACTCCTAACAGATTAAAATAACATAAAAACTATGAAACCCTAAAATTTTTCATTTCCACTAAGAGAACAACCAGTGGAAAAAAAAATACCTACCGAAAGGAAAAAAGAGTATAAACTTAATCGCAAGGGAAATGACGAAAAAGAAAGAGTAGAAAATGAAGAAAACAACAGATAAGAAGTGAAAACCAAAGTGTGTTTTCATTTCCAGTGAGAAAGCGAAAAAAAAGTTAAGAGTTGAGCAAAACATTCCCACTGAAAACATCAAAGCAGTAGGCAAACAAAAAGAAGAGGCCTAGAAGCTTCAGAGAGAGAGAAAAGACTAATATAGCCGGCTATATAACCAACCCGTGTAAAAGAAACTAAAGGCAAAAACGTCAAATCACATTACAAATTTAGAGAAGGACACAACGGGTATCAAAAGAAGTGAAACACAAAATAAAATGGCTAAAAAGACCGAGCACTATTCTAAGAACAATAACTCGGGTGCCTCTTTAGTAGTATGTATAATGTGGACTTTTGACTTTTTAACTGTCTATAAATATAATAATTTCTCAAAAAGTTAG